TCATGGTTGTATCACAAAATCCCACTCTTCAAGCTGCTGTCACTTCTGGGGTCAGGCAACAGGGAGGACAGAGGAAGCAGCAGTTCCAAGCAAGGAGAACCCCTCACGCAAACCAAACCAACAGAATTCTCGCGTCCTGGCAGGGGCTGACCTCAAACCGCAGGCCTGAGGAAGCAGCCCGCGGTATGGAGCCCAGCGCGCCACCTGCAGGGCATTGTCGTCAAACGCAACATCCTGCAAGCACCGCCTGGGACATGAAAGGTAGCAGCTTCACTGGTATTAAAGGGAAACTGGAGTGGTGGATGGATGTCCTGCATCAAACACTGCAAAGAACAGTAAGTATGGGATAGAAAGAACCGTGTCCTGAGCATGTAAAACCTAATGTAGAAAACAAGGCCTCGGGAAAGGAACTTACAAAACATAGGAGAACAATTTGAAAATAATGGACAGAAACTGGGCAAGAGACCACTGTTACAGCCACATTCTGCCCTGGCCCCAAAAAGCCACCATCACCATGAGGGGCAGCCTGCAGGAAGGTCAGCCTGTCTTCATAGCAGCATGTTTGAATAATTTATTCTTATTAAATAATATTGCTTCTAGGCAGAGGTATAAAGACGGCTTGTGAGAGGCTGTGGGAAACATACTTTCCCGTAGCCACCACCAGGCATGGGAGAGTGAGTCAGGGTCCCAATGGATGCCTCTGCCCTGACCCACTGCAGCTGCACAGCCACTGCAGGGTGGGGCCTCCGTTTGGCAACTCTGGCACCTGTTACGTGGCAGGGTCTGCAATCATCTTGTGGGTGACTTACTCTATAACGAGCATGCTCTGGTAGCCAGCACCGAAGTGAGAGGCCCGCCCTGAAGCCCTTTGTCAGGGGAGCAGTGTCCCCTCGGAGGTGCAGGGGTGTGAACCCCACACACAGAAGATCCCTCATCCCGGACAAAGCCACTCAAAGGCAAAGCAGAATTTGAGGCTGTTGGAGAAACACAGATCATTCGCCAGCACCAACTGCACTTATTTCTATACCCTAAAAGCACTGGGAAAAATAATTTCTTCTTGAACATTTCCTCACATTCAACTAAGTTCTGTTGTCTCAAAGGAGGTCTGTCTTCTGTCTCTGTAAAGTTAAGGAACTGACCCCACAGTGAAGGGGAGCCTTCTCCCCCTCTGGACTCTGAATTGCCGAGGAAGAGCTTTCTGTCTGCAGAGATGGTGCATGCGGCTCTCTGGAGGTTGATGGCTCACCTGAGTGTCCCTGGGGGATCCTTTCTGATGGAAATGGGCCCTAGCTGAATGATGCCCTTGGCCTGACATCGATCTCTCACCAGAACCAGAGGAGCAGAAAGGGACAAAGGGGCTGAGATCCAGCCTGGTCTGAAGCCCAGGGGCTGGGCAGCCTGAGGGCAGGTGAGGTCCCTGCCCTTTGCCGTGGTAAGCTCCACTAACACCACCCCTCGGCTCAGAAACCAGGCAACAACTCAGAACCCATTCTCACCTCTTCCATGTGGTCTGGCTCTTAAACAGAGAAAAAAACCCACATAAATAAATAGCAAACCCCAAACATGAACCAAGACTGAGAGGGATGCTGACGGGCCATGGCTGTGAGTGCACAGGCAGCCCAAGGATCCACTGCTCCTGGCACTGGCCTCATGGACCCCAAGATGGGATCCTGTCCCCCAGAGCACAGGACCACTGCTGAAGCAGAGCAGGAGAGCTGTGCCTGCTGCATCCAGGATGGGCCATCCTGGCATGCATCTAACTTCACGAGGGGATTTAGGCTGTGCAATCTTTAAGGACTTAAAAGAAGGGGAAAAGGGACAATCTGCTGAAGTCCCTCCAAGGCGTGCACTAGAGGCCCGTCTCTCCTGGGAAAGCTTCAGCTGGGAGAGAAAGGGGCAGATGGCTCACAGCAGATGCTACCATCAACTCGGGCACCAGGAGCCGCGCCCCTATGGCCTTACGTGTCCCGCGCTGCTGCCCTCGCTGTCCTGGAACACTGGGGGACTCTGATGTCGGCACGGGACAGTGTACAGTCCCTGCCACTGTGAGCTCTCTAGAACAACCCTCCTCACTTCCAAGTCATACTTGACTGCTTGGTGGGAAATGCTCAACTATTTAAAACCTGTTATTTCTGTGCTTTCCTTCCTATGTAGAGCGTGCATCTCTGCATTTGGTGCTGGCAAGTGTGATGACTCTAGAGAAGTGGGTGTCAGGTCCTAGATGGGGAGGGAGTAGCTGTAACAACAGGGCCAAGTGCCTTGTGACGGAGCACAGCAGGAGAGCCTCCCCCAGCCTGCACACCCCTGGCCTGGCCTGGCTGATCTCTTCATGCAGACTTGAGTCCCTGGGTGACCAGAGAGAAGGTTCTCAGACCCCAAGGCTACAGTGACACCAGCATCCCGCTAGAATTGACTTTAGTTTCCCCAAGCTCAGCTGGGGTGGCCCACCCTCTATGATCTACTCTTGTGCTGAATTACGGGCTGCCCAGCCTCTGAGGACCACAGCCCCTGCCCCCTTCTGGCCTGGTGCACTTGTCTCTGGCTGGGGAACTAGCCTTGGGGAGACCATCACTTTTCAGCTCTGAGGATACTGGGTGGCCCTTCTGGCTGCAATGTGGGGTTCTGACCATTCCCAGGCCTTCTGGCTTCCAGCCCCAGGACCTGTGCTGGCGTGAGCCAGACATGCCATCGGCTCAGACAACAGCCCACCTGAAGCTTTCTGTACCCTAGGGGGGCAGCTCCCAGGCCGGGCCCTCTTCTCCCTGCCCAGGTCCGAGCTGACCCAGCAGGAGCTGAGCAGGCACAAGCCCTCCACGTGGCAGCAGGGCACCTGCTGACCTCAGTCTGTTCTCCCTCCCAGCGCCCCTCCTCCTCCCTGACTGCTGTTATCACACACATGGATGGACTCTGGGGTCGGGTGGTGTGCTCTAGGCAGACGGAGGCAAGCCTGGGTGGGTCACAATAGTCCAGAGCAAGTGTCCCCGGAACAAGCCAGTGAGGGGAGGGGCAGAAGCAACAGGTGGCTCTGGAAGCCCTGGTTCCAGGCCTGTGAAGGTGGGGCCCTCAGCAAGGAGGCGCACACCCCAGCCCTGCTTACTCATGGTCTCATGCCTACTATGCACACACCAGACACTTCCAAAGAAAAAGTCTGTAAGATACCAGAAACATCCCTGTGGAACAGAGTGGGGTCTCTCATCACTGGTGGCCGGTAATGTCTGAGGACAGCACACCTGGCCACTTCCATCCCATCCTCATTTCTCTGCAACTTCACCAAGGCAACTTCACAACAGAGCCCCTTTCCCACTTAAAGTCTGGGGCTTGAAGAGGCCCCCAGAACAGGCCTCCGTCCAGGGAGGAGAGTGACTGGCCTATTCCCCTACCCAGCTGTGGCTGCAAGGGAGAGGGAGCTCAGGCCATAGCCGGGTCACACCTAGACACACGCCAGCCTCGCCTGTGCTGACTTGAACCGAGTTCCCCGGCTCCCTTTTGTTCTGAGCCAGCACCTGTCCAGCCGGGTTCCGGGCCCCTGCGACCTTCTGCTCTTCCTCCGAGGGCTCTCTGAAGTCTGTGGCTCTCTCAGCAGAATGGCTGTTGCAGTCAGAGAAGGGCCGGCAGCTTTGCTGGGAAGAGAGAGGCTCACGTTGAGAGCAGGCTGTTTCTAAGACGAGCCTCGTTTGTGCCGGGGGCTCCAGGGTCTGCAGAGTTTGTTCTTGTTTCCGGCTGTGCCCACCCAGGAGGATGAGCACTGGGGCGACTAAGCTCAAAGCCACCTTTTACAGGGACGTACTTAATGCTTCCTGGGAATATTCTCCAAGAGAAGCTGAAGGATGATGATCTGGACCCCAAACTGGGACACAAACCAGATAGCACTGGCTCCCTGCCCACAACAGTGTGCCATGCAGTGTAAGCTCACCCAAGGGCACAGCTGGGCTCTCAGCATGCCACAAAGCCCACCCCCAGCTGCTGCTCACTGACCCCAGGGCCTCTGGTCCTATGGGTACAAGAGACAGTCGTGACTGAAACAGTAGGCGAGTTTCGGGGAGGTAAAGACAACCACACCTTGGTGGGGAAGGTGGTGTGAGAGGCTTCCGCTCAGCCTGAGTGTCCCGTGGTAGCTGCTGGCACCGGGACATGGGACCACAGAGAGCATGGGGCCCTGTTTTTAGAGCGACATGTCTGTGCCCATCTTCCTGCCAGTTGGTGGGCTGCTTCTGCCTTGAGCACCAGCTGCCATGTTGTTAAGGCCCCGCTGCCATCCAGGCACAGGCAGGGCTGCAGGCCGATGCTGCACCCTGCAGGCTCTTGACTCATCTTCCATCCAAACCGTTTGCTGCCTTGAATACCAATCCAGGAGGCCATGGATCTTTCTTGAAGTTAACAGAGAGTGGTAGACTTACTCTTTGAGGGGATTAATGCCAGTGAGAACCACAGACTCATAGTCACTAAACCATCTGCAGATGAAAATATCAAAAATAGATGATCCCTTCAGTGTTTGCCTCAGCTTTATGATTAAGCCTGAATTCCACATTTTCAACAGAATAAGAAATGCCTGGAGTCCAAAGTCACACCAGAACCCTGCCCTCCAATTAATGCTGATACTTCTGACGTTGCCTTCTGAGGGAGAAGACGCCATCGAACAATATGAAACAGGCAGCCCTGGCCCTTCTCCTGCCCGGGACCCATCTCTTCCAAACTGGGGTTTACCCCTCCCATCCTTTCCCTGTGCTTCTCCTGCCTGGCCCCCATCTTTTCCAAAGTGGAAGTGACCCTGCTGTTCCTTGCCCTTGGAAGGCCTCGGGGTCGCCATGCTGCTCCGTGTCCGGTCCTCCTGGGGGCAAGAGCTGCTCTGGAAGCTGTGCTTCTGCTTGTGGCCGGGTCTGCCTGAGACACACGCGGAGATGTGGAGTCACGGCCTTTGCCTCACACCACGGCAGAGGCCTGGGAGGAGACAGTGCTGAGGGAGGAGGAGGTAAGAACAAAGAATTCCCAGAATCATACAATCAGCTGTCTGAACATGTTTATGTGTTTTGTTTTAACCACAGCAGGGGCAGGAGAGAAAATGACAGGATGAGTGTGTCCAGGTGCAGGCAGATGAGGCCGTCCTGTCCGTCTGGCACCAAGCCTGGGCAGCATGGAGCCTTTGCGTTGTGGCCCGGTGGTCACGAGGGCAGCTGCCACATCAGCTCCAGAATTCCTGTGGGTGTGCGTCCCACTCCGCCTGCACGTGGCAGCCTCACTCCCCAGTCCCAGGCCCCTGCAGGCCGGTAGCCGTGATCACGCCAGCCTGCGTGGTTACAGTCCCCCCGGGCTCCTCCATGCGGGACCTTTTGACCTCAGGCTCCCCAGTGGCAGGGGCAGAGATGGCAGCCGTGGTTGGGGTAATGGTGGTGGTGGTGGCGGCCGCTGGTGCTGGCTCCTCGGGGCCCACCTCACACACCCGGGTGACCACCACTGGCGTGGACGAACTAGCCTGGGCTGCAAGGAGCTGCAGGGGGCTGGTGAGGGCTAGGAGTGGAGGGAAAAAGAGATTCACATTGGGACACTGCTCAGGACCAGCAGTGCCTGCTCGGCACACCAGCCGATGGCTCTGTTTGGGGCTGAGTAAATTACTCACACCCAGCCCCTTGGCCTTTCCTTCCGGGTCTGTGACTCCCTCACGCCACTCGCTGTATGACCTGGCCTGCTCTCTGCCCAGGGATGCCATGCCCCCAGCTTTCCCTCACTGTTGCTTCTGCATGTGGATCCTTGCAGACCCCTGACGGCTCTTGCCCTCACCTGCTGCAGGTTCTTAACAAATGCCACCTGCCCTGAGCCCCTTCTGCAAAAACTGCACCCCTCCCCACCCTCAGCCCCACCCTGCCGTCTCAGGGCTAGCATGCTGCCCACTGCTACTTCCCTTCTCTCCTTGAGCCTGTCTTGCCCAAGCAGGGGGCAGCTATGGGTTGTGGGGTCTGTGCCTCTCCCCCCGGGGCTCTCCTGGGTGCCACCACACTGCCTGGGCAGAGCAGGGGCTCCACCACTTGGTCAAATTGACCGGATGACTGGATTATTGGAGAAACACTCTTGCTGCATTGTCTGGGGGCTGAAGGATAGGGCTCATGCTGAGGGCGCCAGGGTCGGGCAGGGCCTCACCATAAGTGCTGCCAGCTAAACTATTCGTGGAGACGGCGTGCTTTCCATTCTGAGTGACAGCCCGAACTGGAAGATGGTGCTGCCCGATGGTCACTGGCGTGGCTGGCTGCAGGATGGTGACCGTGTGTCCAGCGACCCCAGGGGCCATCTGGCTGGCCACCGTCTGGATGACCCGGCTGGCGGCGGGGATGGTGGCAAATGCAATGGTGGGTTTCTCTTCCAAGCCTACAGGAATACAGTGTATGAGACCCCCGACTTTGCCTAGTGCAGCCGCAGCAGCCTGTTTTCATTTATCTCTCAGCAGGAAGTCTGGTAATGGAGGCGAAGCGAATTGTGGGTTTTTACCATTTACACTGGGAAAAAATGTTGGTTCTCAAAAGAAAAATCCCACTTTTTGAAATAAAATTAACAGGTTTTTAGAAAAAACTTAAATACCTTGAACTTTAACCCAAATTTTTCTGAGAAAGAAAATGTCTTATTTAGAATGAAATGACTTGCATTTGGAGCCATAACTTAGTCGTCTTTCACCAAAATGCATCTGTCGTCATGACACTAGTAAGAGAAGAAATCACTGCTGAGATTGAGCCAACAGTGGTCCTTAAGACCAGGAGATGTTAATTCAAAGCATTCCTGGGAGGGCCTGTGCAGACCTGAGAGTCTTTTGGCTGTGTTTTCAATACTGACCCCACTCACTCCCTGGGACCCAGATTTCTGATTTAGGAATTTTAACTATTTTTTGCTTTAAGTGACTTCTAAGGACTCTACACCGGGGACTCTAGAGAAATCGCCCTCCAGATTCCCATTTTAGGCAGGTCCCATGACCTGGTTCGGTGTCACCTCAGGGGCTCTGGGATTGGAGGTGACAGTCTGAGAGGGGGAAAGCATTTCTGAGGATGGCGAGGCTGATTCAAAAGGACTCACAAGTGGCAGCAAAGTGGGGCAGCAGCCCGGGAGCCGTCGGCCCCCGAGGTAGTTGTGCCCCAGCTTGCAGGCTCTGAGCTCTTACTGAGGCTGAGGTCTCCGCCTCCTGGATGATTCCCTACCAGCCCCAGCCACACGACCGCACAGCTATGTTACCTCTGGCTTCGCTGCCCAGATCCAACACTGCTGTGCCTGTGGCTTCGTGTGCGCCCCCTGCCGAGGCCTGGCTGGCAAGGATGTATCCGTTGGCAGAACTGGCAGAGGTGGTGACCACCCTGAGCATGGTGACAGGGGGTGCCTGCTGCACGACGTGGATTGCGTGGCCGGGAGGCTGCTGGGCCGTCACTATGGAGGCTGGCATGTAGGCCACGGGTTTGGCCACTAAGCTGGGAGGTCGGGGAGGCATAGCCATGATCACGGGCTGGGCACTGACAGGAGAGCCTGCACAGAGAGGGAGCAGGACCCTGAGGGCGCGTGCTTGGCAGTGGCTCTGGACATGCCCTGCCAGGGCATGACAGAGTCCCCCACATCAGGTGAAAGGCCACTCTTACCGGGTGCACTCTGGGAATACCGATACTCTGGAACAGAAGCTAACTTTGACCCGAAGTCAGGGTCGTGTGGAATGGGTGAGCCCTCCCGAGACAGGCACTCTGGAGTCTGCAGGCCAGTAGAACGAGGGGACATCAGCCCAGGGTGAGTCGGTGAGGCTGGAGCACTCCTGCCAGTGGGAGAGAGGCCATGGCGGTGAGGAGACATGGGGAGGATAAAGGGCATTCAGCAGATGAGTGGCCACCTAGCACCCATAGCCTGTGAGGCCTCTGCCCCTATGCCTGATGCTTCTCTCTGTCCTCAGGAGGTACTTTCAACATTAACATTCCCACAGTGACAAGATGCCGCCTGATAAACATGCCACCAATGCAGCATTTAAAGCCCCAATAACTGGGAGGCGGCCGCATTTTTTGTGGCTTCCCAGCAAAAACCATGATCCAGGCCCCTTTCTTCCCAAAAGGGTCCATTCTCTGCGCTACCAGCATAAGCTTTGGCATGGTGGGAGCCAGCTTCCCTGGGAAGAGCCCACGTGGAGGGAACATGCTGTTCAACTCGCAGGTGATGGTCCCCAGAAGCCGGCTCCTTGGCTGCATGTGCCCAGGAGCTCAGCCCTGGATTTCTTCTCAGGGGTGGCCACACGAGCCCTGAAACACAGGGCCCACCCAAGCCAGCAGTGCAGGATTCTGGGTGGCCGGACGCAGCCTCAGCATGGCCCAAAGCGGCCTTTGTCTTGTGTTTATAACCAGCATGGGCAGTCTTGGGAGCAGAGCTCCAGCTGCCTCTGCTGAACGGGAGCTGCAGGCTGGCTCCCCAGTCTTCATGGCAGGGACCTGGCATGCTCCCCCCGGCCTTGCCCCCAGTCTGCCCTTCTGCCCCCATCACCTCTCAGCTTGGGCACCTGTCCTCCACCCTGGAGTCCTGCTGCTCGTTGTGATGCTCAAGCCAGCAGTGACTGGTCCGTCCCACACTGCAGACTGCAGTGGCCTTGATTCTCAGCACGAGTCCAAGTGCCCAGTTCCCCTGAGATGGCTTTCCTCTACCAAACCAGCCCTGTCTGCTACCTGCTGCCTCCCTCCAAAGAAACCCAGGCTCTGGAAGCCACAGACTCCTCCCTCTCCCTGAGACACAGCCGACACCAAGCCTCTGCCTGATCCTGCAGCCTGCAGCTTCCCCTATGCAATTTCTATGCGGCATAACACCGGCGTCTGCATCTGCCAGTGTGACCTTGAGGATGGCCACCTTGCATCTTTAGAGATGCTCCTCAGACAGGGTTTCCTGAGCAGTGCAGGGCACACAAATCACCCAGTATGACTCCACTAGATGGCTGATGGCTGAGCCACAAGCAACAAACAGCTCTGGTTACTGTTACGGGTTGAACTGTGTCCCCAGAAGGCTATGTTGGGGTCCTAACTTACAGCGCCTTGGGAGGGGACTTTCTTTGCGGACAGAGTCTTCACAGAGCTGCTCAGATTAGATGAGGTTATGGCAGTGGGTCCCAATCCAGTGACCAGGGTCCTCATAAAAGGGGAATTTGGACACAGAGACACCCAGGGAGACGGCCATGTGAAGATGGAGGCAGAGGCGGGCAATGCCGCTGGGGGCTGGGAGAGGCCCAGGGCAGGCTCCCTGTCCAGGCGTTGGAAGGACCTGCCCTGCCCACACCTTGATCTCTGGCTTAGATACTCTGGAACAGAAGCTAACTTTGACCCGAAGTCAGGGTCGTGTGGAATGGGTGAGCCCTCCCGAGACAGGCACTCTGGAGTCTGCAGGCCAGTAGAACGAGGGGACATCAGCCCAGGGTGAGTCGGTGAGGCTGGAGCACTCCTGCCAGTGGGAGAGAGGCCATGGCGGTGAGGAGACATGGGGAGGATAAAGGGCATTCAGCAGATCAGTGGCCACCTAGCACCCATAGCCTGTGAGGCCTCTGCCCCTATGCCTGATGCTTCTCTCTGTCCTCAGGAGGTACTTTCAACATTAACATTCCCACAGTGACAAGATGCCGCCTGATAAACATGCCACCAATGCAGCATTTAAAGCCCCAATAACTGGGAGGCGGCCGCATTTTTTGTGGCTTCCCAGCAAAAACCATGATCCAGGCCCCTTTCTTCCCAAAAGGGTCCATTCTCTGCGCTACCAGCATAAGCTTTGGCATGGTGGGAGCCAGCTTCCCTGGGAAGAGCCCACGTGGAGGGAACATGCTGTTCAACTCGCAGGTGATGGTCCCCAGAAGCCGGCTCCTTGGCTGCATGTGCCCAGGAGCTCAGCCCTGGATTTCTTCTCAGGGGTGGCCACACGAGCCCTGAAACACAGGGCCCACCCAAGCCAGCAGTGCAGGATTCTGGGTGGCCGGACGCAGCCTCAGCATGGCCCAAAGCGGCCTTTGTCTTGTGTTTATAACCAGCATGGGCAGTCTTGGGAGCAGAGCTCCAGCTGCCTCTGCTGAACGGGAGCTGCAGGCTGGCTCCCCAGTCTTCATGGCAGGGACCTGGCATGCTCCCCCCGGCCTTGCCCCCAGTCTGCCCTTCTGCCCCCATCACCTCTCAGCTTGGGCACCTGTCCTCCACCCTGGAGTCCTGCTGCTCGTTGTGATGCTCAAGCCAGCAGTGACTGGTCCGTCCCACACTGTAGACTGCAGTGGCCTTGATTCTCAGCACGAGTCCAAGTGCCCAGTTCCCCTGAGATGGCTTTCCTCTACCAAACCAGCCCTGTCTGCTACCTGCTGCCTCCCTCCAAAGAAACCCAGGCTCTGGAAGCCACAGACTCCTCCCTCTCCCTGAGACACAGCCGACACCAAGCCTCTGCCTGATCCTGCAGCCTGCAGCTTCCCCTATGCAATTTCTATGCGGCATAACACCGGCGTCTGCATCTGCCAGTGTGACCTTGAGGATGGCCACCTTGCATCTTTAGAGATGCTCCTCAGACAGGGTTTCCTGAGCAGTGCAGGGCACACAAATCACCCAGTATGACTCCACTAGATGGCTGATGGCTGAGCCACAAGCAACAAACAGCTCTGGTTACTGTTACGGGTTGAACTGTGTCCCCAGAAGGCTATGTTGGGGTCCTAACTTACAGCGCCTTGGGAGGGGACTTTCTTTGCGGACAGAGTCTTCACAGAGCTGCTCAGATTAGATGAGGTTATGGCAGTGGGTCCCAATCCAGTGACCAGGGTCCTCATAAAAGGGGAATTTGGACACAGAGACACCCAGGGAGACGGCCATGTGAAGATGGAGGCAGAGGCGGGCAATGCCGCTGGGGGCTGGGAGAGGCCCAGGGCAGGCTCCCTGTCCAGGCGTTGGAAGGACCTGCCCTGCCCACACCTTGATCTCTGGCTTCTGGCACCACAGCTGAGGGACAATGCGTCCCAGCTTTTTGCGGCCAAGTCAGTGGCACCTTGCAGCCGCGGCCCTGGCCGACTGACAGCTTAATACAATTTCTCTCTGCCTTCCTATTTAAGCAGGGTGGTGTTCTGAAAATTGGAGTTCAGCCGAAACATCCCAAATGATGTCAAAACACTTCTGAATTCCTATCTTATGGATACGACTGTCACCTCCACCCAATTCCTACTTTGACCAGATAGTAAGGCTAGGGGCAGACTTGCCCAGGAAACGAAGTGATGCCTGAACACACGCGCAGTCTTCCACAGCCACATCTGAAACACCACCTCCAGACAGAAAGCATGTGCCATGTTTCCTTCCGGTGGGATTCCTCTATCTCTTCAGCCAGGCCTTTCCCTGGATGGGCAACCTTGGGAAGGCTGCTGGGCATGTCCACATGCAACCTGTGCCCCTCTGGACCCCGCTCACTTCAGGCCTTGGCCGGTGGGCAGGCAGAGCTGCTGGGGGTGGGAGAAGCTGCCCAGGCCTGCTTACAGGCAGGGGCTGCATCCCAATAGCACCTCCATTAGTCACAAGCTGCTTGGGCTCCACCAGTCCTGCTCACCGGTCTCTTCCAAGACACAGCAGCACCACATTGGGGACCAGGTGGCTACAGGGTGCCCCACGCCCTCCAACAGGAAGGCTGATCCTTGGGAACCACTGCGAGCCGCACCCCACCCTGTTCCTGCTCCCCGAGATGCCATACCCACTGCGACACACATTCCAGCTGTTAAGAACTGCTGCGTTGGAGGGGTAGCCAGCTGTCTACTTACCAACTTCACCTTTACACAGTTCACTGGTCCCGAGATACTCTCTTGACCTCTCAAATAAAGGCCAAGGGTTTTAAATGCCAAAAATACTACTGGAAACATGGTTGTCTGGGGGAGCCGGACCTCCAACCAAGGAAAGCAGAGGCTTACCTGGATGACAGAGGCCCAAAGGGGGTGCGGAAGCAGGAGACGCCCCTCTGCCTCCGTTTTCGGAATGCCTGCTCCACAAGCTTGGCTTCTGAGGCAGGGTCTATTCTCCAAAAAGACCCCTTCCCAGGCTCCTCCTGGGAACGAGGGACTTTAATAAAGTAACGGTTCAAAGAGAGGTTGTGTCGGATAGAATTCTGCAGGAGAGCAGAGACAGATATTCACCAGTTATTAGCCAATCAAAAACAAACCCCAACTTGCCCCAAACCTGAACCCAACAGATGTGAAATCACAGGTGACAGAAGCCTGGTGTCCATGCCAGAGGCTCTTCACAGGGGCCAGGGACTGGGCTTCCCTGGGAAGGGCAGAGGCACAGTGGCAGTTTTTCCCATCAAATTCAGCATCATGACATTCTTTGTGGAAAAAATGAGACACACAAGCCACAGTCTAGGACAACACTGAGCTCAAAATCTGTACTAAATCGCTAAGCAATAATCTGTTACAGGAAATAGTGACTATGAAGAAAATATAAATGAGTATAAAGTGTGCTAGTGATGCCTAGGGTAGACAAGTCTTCCAGTCCTGTACAAAGACAACTGTATTTATGGACACATAGTTTACACATGTGGACTATTTGTAAATAGTGTGTACAGTGTATTTCCAAGTCAGCACTGGACTAAACCACACGGGAAGCATAAAGGCTAGCAGGACGTGTAAACTGGTCTTCGCGTTTCTGGGCTCAGAGGGAGGGCAGGCTGTTTCAGCCTCAGCTGTGGATCCTTTTACACCTGCCACAGGTCAAACCTACAAACATCCCTGTGCCCTTTTCTGTTTGTCTTAAAGAGAGGAATGCACCTGTGGACTTTCTTGTTCTGAGTGGCTGAGAGCCGGTTCTGGGGCTCGAGGCCTTACCTGCCAGCCTTTGTCGGCCGTGCGGTAGTAAGGGTAATGTTTGGTGATGTGGGCATAGATCCCGCTTAGTGTGAGCTGTCTGTCCTGCGCGGAGGAGATGGCCTGCACAATCAGCTGGGCGTAGGAGTATGGCGGCTTGGACTCGTCCTGCAGGGGAACAGACAGGGTCGTCAGCTTGAGGGGCGCCTCCACAGCCCATCCCGACGGAGCACACCCTGCCGGCAGGACAGGAGATGAAGAGTGTGCGGTCATTGGCCCCGGAACCTCCACCTGGCTTGCCGGTGCACTTGCATTGAACTAGGGATCTGTTTCTGCCTTGTGCAGGGGGAAATTAGCTTTTCATCAGAACTCATTTCTAAGAGTTCTCACCTCCTCTACAAATTGATTTAAAAACAGTTAGATGGAAAAGAACAAAGATACAAAGCTGTGACGAAAAAACTTGTCATACCTCCCAAAAACTGTAATTAAAACTCTCTGAAACCCTGTCACCAGCAGATGAATGAGGAGGATGCAGTATGGAGGCCGAGTGGGAGGTGGCATTGCCCAAGGTGCTGAGATGTGGTGCCAGCAAATGGGCACCATGCACAATCGGAGACAGGGGATGGCCAGAGGGTCCCACCGAGTGTGGCTCATTTCCATGCGGCCACCCAGCCCGATCACCATGTGGCCAAATGTAGGTGAGGGTGCAGACCTTGGGGCTGTCCCCTCCGGACGCATCTGCCTGCTGCTCTGAGGCGGCCTTTGCTGCAAACTCTGCTGCCAGCTGCAGGTCTGAGGTCACGTTCTGGACAAAGCGGTAGCCAGAGGAGCCGGCCCCGCGTGGACTGGCCGGGCAGGAGTTGGGAACACTGTGGAGAGAAGGGGCAGGTCCTAAGTTCAGGTTCCAGAAGGGAGGGGGTCTGTAATAGGATTTCAGGACCTACCTGCTGCAGGATCCAGGACAGGGATCCCCACACTGTCCCTTCTCTGCTGTCGTGACACTGCTCCACCCCTTTTATAAAGGATCCACCGTGTGCAGCCAGAGAAGGGCACTCACAGGGCCCACAAGCAGGGGCGCCCCACCTGGGCCAGCTCTGGGGCTGCTGTCCAGGCTCACTCGTCCACATGGTGGCACCGTGAGGAACCGTCAGGGAATGGTGCCTGCTCTGGGGAAACCCTCCCATGTGGCCTCCTGATTTCCCCTGGGCCGCAGCCACTGCCTCAGCTGGGCTCACTGTCCCTCCAGGCAGCAGTGACTACCCGCAGTTGGGACAGCAACCAGACACGAGGCTGGACACACCTAGCTCCTGCTTCGAGGCCCCTCTGGCCCCAGCCTCCCAACCCCCAGCATGCCTAGGGGTTCTGCTGTCTGTCCTGCCCACTTTCCAATGGCATCGTCTCCTTTCACTAACAAGGTGGACTTCGGTTCTCAAACCACATCAGAATTTTGATTCTAAAAATGAATTCTATTACAAAATACTCAGAGAGAACCAACAAACACCCTGAGGTAACAGACCTTGGGAGCCTCGGGGGAACCAGGGCCGGTCTGCCTGCATCGTGCTCCCCACATCTGGTGAGGACTGGAGGCCCTGCCTTCAGGGGGTTCTTGCGTCCTCCCCACCTCTGCCCATTTCCCCCGCCTGAGCGTCCTTCCCTGTCACGCTTAAGCTGGGCCCTTCCCCCTCGCAGGCCTGGACGGCAACCACAGGTCTCTGGGCTTGTCTCCTGCAGCCAGGTACTGTCTGCAGTGCGGCCTGGCCCCAGAACCAGTCACCAGTTACGGGAGGAAGGGATGGATGAGAGATCAAAATGTTGCCAGGAAAACCTGGCAGTTGATCTGAATGAGAGATTCTGCTGCAGTCATTATTACCCTTTTTGGTAAATGAATGTGTGAAAGCCACACAGAACTTTAAGGACTCTTATTTGAGAATTCTGTTCTCTTCAGCAGATTCCCCAAACATGGCAGACAGGTTAAATCCTGCAGTACAGAAACTTGATCGGCAACCATAAATGAGCCTGTTAAAAGCAGGAAACAATAATAAGGGCTATTCCTCTGAATTTAGTTCTGAAGCAAATATACAAAACTCAAGCTAAAATGGAAGGTGGGAGGGGGAGAGAAAGGCTCTTACCAGGAACACATTCACACTCAAAATCAGGCTTTTCAAGTGCCCCCATTTGTGGACCAAGGGCCACCCCGTGTGGCACAGACCAGAGGGGTCAGGGGCCCTGACAGGGGGGCCTTCCTCAAGTTCCTCTGCACTGTTTTGCCGAACGGCGCAGCACTGCAGGAGGCCTGGGTGCGAGCCAGCCTTTTCCCCGGCTCCAATCCGAGACACAGCCAACCCCTTCCAGACTCAACGCAAATAAACCAAACATTGGTCTTTTTCTGGACCATGGGCACCAGGAGCCATTGCCAGGAACACACCAACCTGCAGGGACAGATCGCATCCAGCCAGGTGAGACTGTGTGAGATGTGGCCTTACTTACCAGTGGAGACTCACACAGCACCTTCTGGGCTGAGGCACCTGGGCTGTGCTGCTGGCCCAAGTCGCTATTTTGCAAAAGGTCACAGCAAATTAATGTCTAACTCTCAGAAGGCAAAACCCAGAGAAAAGACTGTCATTGCCCACAGAGTGATTTCACATGGAAATAACAAATGGGCTAGCCACAGCCAGGCCACAGAGGCAGGGTGGATGGTGCCGGGGGGCTCGTGCTACAAACCCTGCCAGGGACATTCCTGCAACGACAGGCGCTGCAGGGCAGGAGCCAGCCAGGAAGCCTGCAGCTGGCCTGCAGGACCCTCCCAGGAGGACATGTGTGTGCATGGCCTTTCCGCCTCGGAATGGCTAGCTTCGCAGTAAGCGCCACTCAGCTGCCCACAGGCTGGCTTCTGCAGCCAGGGCTGCACCTGGTTCCCAGCACCCTGACAGCACAGCTCTGTTTGAGGGAGGGAGGGAGGTGGGATGCCGAGCAGGCTCAGGTAAGGCTCAGGGCTGCAGGACAGCTGCAGAGGAGCTAACCGCACACCCAGCGTCGGCGCCACAGCTGTATCCTGCTCCATGGGAACTGCCTGACCGGCAGCAAAACCGGAAATAGTTCCACAAACACATATGTACCTCTTTTTTTTTTTTTCGTGTACCTCTTAAGGGGACAGGAGACAGAAGAGATGCTGGGGCCCTCCAGGCTTCAGTGAAGATCCACTCGCCTCAGGGTCCCCCAGTGGCCAGGCTGTGGGAGGTCTGAACTCGGGGATGCGGGAAATCCTGGACAGCTGCGATGCCATGTGAAAGTCACGTGATCTTCCTGATGTGAGAGCCCAGGACGGAATGGGGTGGAAGTCCCTGGTGCCCCCCTTTTGTGGAAAAATAGTTCCTAAGTCACATTTCCGTTTCAGGCGAGAGAGACTCAGCTGTTGGTGGCTGGCTGTCCTGCTGGCAGCTGCTCTGGATTTGGGCCGTTGTCTTGCCAGGACAAACCTACGCTGGCCCCGTGACAGCCCAGATGCAGAGCACGACTTCCTCGAGCGTCCAAGACACCCAGCAATAATCTGATCCCTATGTTTACAAATATTAGAAAAGAATGAACAGCCTGAGGGAGAAAGCGTTTCCAGGTCTTATTACGATAAGAATTCAGACAGAAAAACAGACAGACAGAAGGCCCAAAGTCACTGCTGGACCAGCCATCAGAAGCCTGTGCTTGGAACCGACGACAGGCCACTTCTGTGGTGCCCCCATCCTCCCAGAGCACCCTGGCCTGGTCTGGTCTGCCCTGGGACGGGTACGGCTCCTGAAATGGCCTGGTCATTTCCCCCCTGTTCCAGTTCCCAGGAAGTGGACCTCATGGTCATGAGCCACACTGAGGCTGTGGGACTGGCCGAGTGTGGGGCAGTGCTGCTCAAAGAAAAGGCCAGGGCCAAGCCTATAGGACGCAGCCGGGTCCTGGGCGCCCTGGACCTGCTCCTGGGCCTCATCTAGAGGACCAATGGACCCTGCCTCTGCAGGCAGTGGGGGGCTGTGGGAACAGGTCTAGGCAAGCCCACACCTTGAACAGGGGGTTCCGGAAGTCTGCGGGGTTCCCCAGAAGGGGCCGCTCAGAATCCCTCCCTGAGCCCCCACCCCACACCCCCACCTCAGCCCACCCAAGCAGCTTTCTGCACCTCTGCCCTTTTCTTAGGGTATTACCGAGATTTTAAATTAGATTATTAACTTTCAGTTGAAAACTGTAACGAGCTTCTTGATGGGATGGCAGCTGAGCCGACAGGCTTTCCAGGCAGATCATACTTTCAACGAGTCCACAGAAGTAAGTGGTAATTTGGTGGTCATGCATGCCTGTTGAATTTCTTTGGGAAATTAAGATCTTTTTATTCTAGAACATAAATGCTTCCATTAAAGTAAATAGAATTTCTTGTTCAAAACATGTTTTACTAACTGATTGGCTCACCTCCTCATTTTCCTCCAGCCTCACTGAGGTGTGCAGCACCTGGTCCTCAACAGGAGTGGCCTGCCCTGGCCGGACAGGACACAGAGAGGGTGGGACAAGGACACCAGGGAGGGGCAGGGACGGCAGAGCAGCGCACAGCACACCACAGCCCGGAGGAGGCACACATCGCTTACGAGAACTGACAGCACTGCCCATTCAGGGGACAAGGAAATGCCTTTCAGCTTTTAAAGACAGGAGGAATCAAGTTCAATAAAGGACAAAGGAGAAACTTGAGAAAACCCCCCAGCGAGCTGACAGCAGGCAGGCTAGGGCCGTGGGGGAGGGATTCCCAGCAAACGAGGAGTCAAGCCCTAGGCCTGCTGCTGAGCCTTAGGCTGAAGGGCCCCACTTGGAGCAGAGACCTAGGCGCTTCCGGGAAAGCCTCATGTACTGGAGGATCAGGAGCTGAAGTGCTTCGACCTTCTCACCAGCAACACTCAAAGCTAGAGAGTGATTAATTCTGAGGGAAAATGTTTATTACTCAGAATTCTCTATGCAGTAAAAGCACCTATCTAGTCTGAATTGGGAAAAATGCTAATTTTCAGGCATGAAATAGTTTAAAAAATTTACCTCTCCTATACCTTTTCCCAGGAAGCAACGGAAGGATGTTTTCCAATAAACCAGAGGAGATCAGGAAAGGGAAAGACACGGGAGTCAGGAAAGAAGGAATTTCCATGATGGTGGGGAGGACGACCCCAGGGCCGGAGGTGCCCCAGACCCAGGCCAGTGGAGAGGAGGCCTGGGCCTCCCAGGACGGGTGAGTGACAAACACGTCTGCACCAGGTGAGGGGCAGGGGGTGCTGGTCACAGACCCGTGGAGATCTAGTCACAGGGAAGAGCCTGTGAGAGCCCCAGGGCCCCGGGCCAGGCACAGGAGAGCACCAGGCACAGGATGGTGTGTGTTGTACGCTTGCGCCAGAGAGGCCAGCCGGCCTGAACTCGCAGTCCTGGTGTTTGTATTGGTGGGGTAGGGTGGGTGGGGAAGTAAAGCTAAATCCTTAATTTCCACTCAGTTGGTCAATACATAACACTGAAAACAGAGACCCAGAGAGTCCATGATGGGCAGTGGCTGGAGGGCAAGGCGGGTAGAACAGGCATGAGGGCTTGGCTGGGGGCTCTTTTCATCAAAAGCCCACAGGGTCATTTGAATTCTTATACCATCTGCATGTACCACTTTGATAAAAGTAAACTTTTTAAAACATGAATGAAATAAATCAGTGCCACCACTATTCCTGTGGGCGCCTGCTAAACACAACACCCAAGCCTTCCACACAATCTGCCAGGCAGTATTTAGTCTCTTTGCACCTTGGTTTCCTTATCTGTGGGGTGGGTGGCCATGCCCAGGCCCTGCAGGCCTCCACAGAGGTGAAATCCCATCCCCTGCACGTGCCAGGCATGGAGCTTTAGGCTGTTACTACTACTGCCAGCATGTCAGCAACAGATTCTGCTTTTATTATTGTTCCTATATCTTGTGGCTCATGACCCTTAAAGTGCATATATTAAAGAAAATTACTAAACCTGAGAATGTACTGCCTCAGCATAAGGTGTTTAGACATTTTTGAAAGGCAGCTGCCGACCACCGACATGCCACTGAAGAGCCAGGCTGACCTTCAGCAGGAACTGGGCAGACACTTGGAGCGTCCCTGGGGAGGCCACGCAGCCACCAAGAGTGCAGCCTGGAAAGGTGCCCATGGCACAGTGTGAGGGGACAGGAGGGGCGCAGGGCCGTGAAGTGTGCAGGGCCTTCTGGGAAGCACAACAAGAGCACTTGTGAGACAAGCCATCCAGGCTGCTTATAGGATGACCAGCCCGGGACTCATCTTGGGAATGCCACTGTGGGGGCTTTTCATGCTCAGAAATGTCTGAATTGTGTATAATGCGTGCATAGTACTTCTGTATCTGAAAAAATAAATAGGGAAAGAGAATGCACAGAGGCTAGTTTCTTAGAGCTATCTTAACGAATTTTTGCGGACCGTTGAGATAAATGCAACGCTGTGAGATCTTGGGAAACTATTTAAAAGATTAGTTTCTGAAATGCATTTTGCCCCTGTGAAAATCAACAGGCAAATGGACCTGGGCTGTTCCTCGGTGGACACCTTACCTGCAGCCGCGGGCTAAGGAGAGGGCCCACTGAGGGGTGGACTTGGGGGCAGCCGGCACCCTTCTCAGCCTGCCACACGGTCACTGCCCATAGGGGCAGCACACAGTAAGCACATCCAGGAGAACACTACCTGTGACCCTCTGAGGGCCCGAGATGTGCCAAGAACTTAAATACAAGCTTCATGCAACTTTCTCTCAATATTTTATTTATTATTATTATGATTATTTTTTCCCCACCAATCTCTCAATATTTTACAAGTCAAAATACACCCAGGCCTGGATTTAGGCAAAAGGGAAAGCAGAGCGTGGAGGCCCCACCTTTCTGTGTAGATGACTGAATTTTTATTTCTCCTGAGTTTTCAGATGGGGAAAGGCACCAGGTGGCTGTGGGTGGGGCTCGGGGGGGGGGCAGGAAAGGGAAAGGGCCCCCCAGTGACCCACAAACGAGGAGGCTCCTAGACCGCAGGGCAAGGCCCCTGCTCTGAGTCCCTTAAACCTTCCAGAACCACACTCTGGGGGTCAGGCTGAGAATACGAGGAAAGGTAGCTGCCAGGAACTCTGGAACAGGAAGGAAGATCCAGGTCGCCAGAAAATCAAGAGCACTTTTAATGGAGACGTGATAACCTCCAAACTCAAAAGATACCAAGCCTGGCAGATCCAAATAAACCGAACCTTCTCTAGGAACAGGGGGAACTGGGCTGGGCTTCAGTATCATTATTAGCAGGGTTTTAGATTTTGAAGTCAGTTGCTTCATTTTTATTTTTACACTGCTCTACTAACCTCTGCCAAATTTCACAAAACAAATTATTTTGATTTTTAGTTTCTACATTGGGGGGAAAAAAGCCTTCTTAAAGAAATAGCTTCTAAAATCTCGCTCTTGGTAAAAATTAGCTACTCTCTTCTGTCCTTTTCTCGGGTTTAGTTTCAGCAGTTTTCTTAAAACTCTAGCTCTAAGGAGCACTTTTTAGAATGGTCTCTTGTTTTTGTAAAACCTAGAAAATGATTAACCAATTTTTTCTTTCCTAGAAATACCACTTCCTTGCAAAATGAAAAAAAAAAGTCAACAAAATGCTGCTGAAGAGAGAAGAATCTGTATAAAAGAGTTCATTCATTTTCTGGGTGGAGTACTTCAGCGCAAAAAAAGAAAAGAAAAAGAACCACCGCCCACCGACCTCACCCGCCCACACCCACGCGGCCGGCCTCGCGGGCAAACACTGGCGCGCGGGCGGGGCCTCCGTTAGGGAAGCCCGGGCCCCGGGCGCCGCGGGCAGGCCTCCAAATTAGGCGAAAAGCGAGAAGGGGCGGCCCCGACCGCGCTCCGCAAAGGGCGGGGCCGCCCTGCAGGCCGTCCCCCGCGGGGGCAGGGCGGCCGCGGTGTTTGTAAACACGCCCGCTCCCCCCCACGACAGAGACGCAGGTGAGAAGGATCTGGGCAGGCAGAGCCTCACAGGCCCCTGAGGTTTCTAAACAGTCAGTTGAATTCCGCAGCACCAAGATAGGCGGATGTGACAGAAATGCTGTTCTGTGACTACGAATCAAGTGCCACAAAGCGAGGGACCAGGCCCCAAAGTTACCTGTCCCCAGATGTTCTACCGGAGGAGCGCGACGTGCACGGGAGCCCCGCCCGCCAAGCCGCGCAGGGGAGGAGGGCGGAGGGAGGGGACACTGCCCTGCACCCTGCCGACACCGACCAGGGGGCTAGTGCGCCTTAACCCCGTCCGGCGGCCCTGGGCCCCTGGGCCCGGGGCTGACCGCAGTCTCAGGGCCTGGTGTCCCAGACCCGCTCCTGCCGCACCTGGGAGGCTCTGCTCAGGGCAAACCCCTCTTCCTGACCCCTCTGTGAACTACCCTCCTTTCCAACACAAAAGCCATCTCAAAGAGCAAAGCTTTGCTTGAGTATCTTAAACCAGTTGGCTATTTTTATTTGGAGTATTACTGGGAAATATTCTTATTTTCTGAAGTCCTCCAGGTACAAACCAAATGTTCTTTCTTAGAAAGTGCCATTTGGCTGGATTATAAATCGGTTATTAATAACCCCATTAATGCCCATCTAAGGCTGGCCGGGCGCTCTGGCACCCAGCGGAATGTGAAACTCGCCTGCCAGTGTTCCTGAAGCTGCACAAGGTGCTTCCAGGTAAAGGTGTTAACACATGTCAGGCTGTCATCTGTTTCCCTGAGACAGTCCATCCGCATAGGGTACACGATTCATGGCTTTAGTGTATTCAGAGTCATGCAACCATCACCACTCTGACCCCAGGACATCCTCACCCCAGAAAGCTCTGCCAGTCCTGGACAGGTCCCATCAGTGGTCACACAGTGTGTGTGGCCTCTGTCTGGCTCCTTTCACTTTGCATTGTTTTCAAGGGTCATCCATGCTGCGCCCTGCACATATCAACACCTCAACCCTTTTTATGGCCAAATAATATTCCATGTAAGGATTGTCTACTTTTCAAAGAAATCCTGCCTGGCAGTCATGGGTGATGCTGCCAGGAACCCCTGTATACAGGTTTTCATGACCTCATGGTCCAGGGAGCTGTTGGATCATAAAGTAGCCCCGGCTTTAACATTCTGAGGTCAGCACAGTATTCAAAAGTGGCTCCATCATTTCACTCCACATGATTTTTACTTTATGTGTAAAGTACACACACAGAAGTGAACGTAAGAGTGTTTTCAGAGCACAAGTTGATGGTGAGCTTAGACGGGGGCTCATGTTTCAGCTTAAGTTTAAGTCAGATGTCTGAAACGATGAAGTCATGCATTAAATTCTGGGTTTCAAACAAGTTATTGCTAGAGATCTGGAATGAGCTTCAGAAAAAGTAGGTTACCTGGTAATGCTGGGAAGACTAAAGGACAGTGTGGGCATGGTGCTGAGCACTGGGTCTCCCAGACACCAGGTTTTTAGCAACTTAGCGCTCTTCGTCATTAGCACGGAGAGCCATGACATTAGAGCACTGGCCTCAGCAATGAGGGGGAACAGCCCCTGAGGATGCCAGGGGCACCCTGGAGCCCCTGCTCTCCCACTAAGTGGACACATGGCCAGCACCTAAGTGCAGGGCTCAGACTCGAGTTCTGGGTCAGGCTGTGCCTGCTGCCCCTGAACTTTCTCTACCATAGGAGGGAGACACACCCACCCTCTGGCTCTGGAGGAAACTGACTCCATGCACCTCCCTCTCGCAGCCAACACATTGTGGCAGGAAAACAAACGGCCCGAGCGAACTGATTCTTACATCAAAATGAACCCTGATAAGATTCTAAACATAAATGTTCTCAAGGCATGCAAACTGGGGACCACAGAGTATGGCTGGCTGGCAATAAAAAGGACGTCTACTGATAAGATGGTGGAGACACTGAGACCCCAGTGCTGTGAGAGCTTCCAGGGTGCAGTCTCAGACACACCCTGGGAGTCCCCGGACCCTTCTAGGGTGCATGTGCCACCCAGCCATGCTCCCAGCCACAGCCGACATGACGTGCCCTCCCACCTATGACACCCATGCCGTGGTGCCATGGCAGGAACCAGGCACTATGCCAAATGCGCAGTGGCCACGGTATCCGCAGCACCCCATGCCGGGAGAAGAAGAGAGCCAATTTCATCTTAAAATGCCCAAATGAAGCAGTAATGTATGTTAACACTTACTAAATCGTGACCATCAATGAGGTGCCTTTCCGCCATGCTTTATGACTACATGGAAGGAAGGCATAAGGACTGTGGCAAACAGACTCATGCCCATCCCTCTTCACACAGGCCTCTCGTTACAGGTGTTGCCTGAAACTCCCCCTCAGGGGCTTCATACAACATGCCCAGGAGGAGCAAGTTGGAGGACTTCCTTTAAAATCTAGGTACATTTCTAAAACTTTGCAAATAATTTCCACAACTAAAGTTTAGAAAACTGAAGTTCACCACATCCTAGTATGCAAATACTTCTTTAAAGTATTTTCAGTATCTTAAAAAAATAATACCTGTGCTTCCTTTAAAAGCCCTAACGTACAAACAGCACACTGGAAAAGTGAACAATCAGGTAGAGATGCCTCACTCTGGAAGTGAAGTCCCCAGAGACCTTATTTAAGTAGTCAGGTCCCCTGAGGCACTTCAAGTGGTTTCAGACTTTCCATCCACACCCAGTTTTCCAGAAACGTGCCCCACACTATAAACATGGAGCATCTCCCTCATGTTCCTCTTTCTCAAAGTGGACAGGCACCTGATCTTAAAGAGGACGCCACCTGGCAAGTGCTCTCACCTGATGGTGCCAGTCGGGGAGGGGATGGGGCTGACCAAGCTCCGGAGGTCCGGCTCAGGGATGTGGATCTTCAGTGGGGAGATCTGCGGGTACAGCGGCCGGAGCGGCGATGCCGGGGCCTCCTCCGCGTGGAACAGGGCTGTGAACTGGATCTTTATGGCCGTGCTGGGGAACCGGAAAGTGCACCTGCAACGGGGCGGAGAGGGTGTCAGGCAGGCAGTGGAGCGCAGCGGCTGGGGTTTCTGGGGGAATGCTCTGGCTCCTCTCGAGAACCACGACCCGTGTCACTGGGCTTTCTCATGAGCACTCTGGTTCGTATGTGCTAAAAATTGTACTTTCTACATGTTCTTAGTTTCCCGACTGTGCATGTGAACAGGGATGTCACCCCAACACTGTGATGTTGCCCCAGCAGAGGCTCCACAGGCAGAGCTGCTTCCCGACCACTGTTGTGGCTCTAACACCCATATGGGGTTGCCACCTCACAGGGCGCTCGCTGGCAACCTGAAATACCATGGCGCCCGTTCATGCAGCTGTTTTAATGACAGGTGTCCTGTAAGATACAGAACTATGGCCACAGTCTACCCATCAGCATGAGGTAGGCCTTCCCAGAGAGCAACGGCACATGACCCAGAGTTCAGTGGACTGGCTTCCCAGTTAGTTCTGGACTGGAAAGCCGTGTCATGAGCTCCAGTTTCTCCACAGGCAGGAGACCACAGGCAATCCACGGGAGGCCGGCTGGCCATGCAAAGGCAGCCTCCTGCCTGTCTCCAAGTCACTCCCTATGTGCACGTGTGCACCCACGGCCACCCACCTCCAAGAAGCTTCTACCTGTACAGTCTGGGCATTGTTAGCTGGCATACCTTCTAACTTCCAAAGTGACAAGTTATCAACAAGCTGCTAACCACATGACTTCAAAACCAAAAACCCAAACATAAACGGCTGCCTGCACAGAGGTGAGCGACATAGTCTACCTTAACAACAGTTTCGCAAAGGCTATTTGTGAAAAAAGCAGGTGGTGGTTGTAGCGTAGAAACACTGTCTATGAACATCCACCTTTGGCCCACTTTTAACAGTTTGCAGAAGGGGTTCACGTCATGCCAAGTGCTACGACACCCAGGCATGTTAGGGTCTTGCCAGCGGGCCTGGCCCATTCTGGCCTCTGTTTTTAATTCAGTGGCCATGTTTAAATTGCATATAAACCTATGACCTCCCATGGACACAGCAAACACCCTCCTCATTCGGATTCTCTTTTCCTCTTAGTAAGTTTTTCAAAAACAAGATTTAAGAGTAAGCCAAAATAGGTCTGAGACCAAGGGTATCAAAAGGGGACCCCCTTAGCTGACAGGGTAACTCTAAGCCTTTCCAGGCAGCTATGAAATGACTCACGAAATGACTTAGCAACCTACGCCCCTGAGCTGGGAGCTGCCTGCACCTCACAGAGAAAAGCAGAAACTCAAACTGGCTTGACTGGCTGGTGTGGCTGCATCCAGAGACCTTGGAGCAGAAGGGCTGGGCGTCAGCACAAAGGCGGGACTCTGCAGCCGGCTGGAAGCTCCAGGACACTAGGTTTCTATTTCCAAACCTAAACTTGGAACAGTGGGATTCTGATGCTGCTTTCCAGATCTGGCTTACCTCTGATGCCACTTTGATTCTGGGAGGTACAGATAAACCTAGACATCAACCTGTTGTTAGATTTTAGGGGGTGGGAGGGTCTGATGTGTAGTCCACATCACCCCTGTGGTTCACTTAAAGCGCCACCCAAGGCCATTTAGAAATACTCTGCAATTTCTCCCTATGAGCTGTGTTAAAGAAATGTTTGATGTTGTTTCCACTTTCTTCAGTTTTCCCATAGCCCAGTGGAAATTTCCCCCATCAGTATTTTGGCTAGAAAGTCCCATCACACTTTTTCCTAAGATGCTTTCTGAGAGCCAAGGTCCCTCTAGACCTGGGGGCCTGTCTGCCTCTGTCTGCTCATGGCCGAGGATAGATGGAGGGAAGGAGTGTGCAGCCAGGAATCTGGCTGAGGGCTCCACACAGGTGGGGTGAGCTCCACCCATGAGCAGCAGGGTTGCATGAATGGCAAGAGTGCATATGTCCACACATGCACTTCACACACACAACCCCTACACACGTGTCATGTAAATCATACAGGCACATACACACATGCACCCACTCTACAGTATTAGATATGGGGACAGTAAAGACGACAAATGTTTACAGGAAGTTTCCAGGCCCTTTACCATTTGTGTCTTCCTTCAAATGCTGCAAACTAACAAAACCAGCTGCAGTCTCCTGAGCTGTGTGTCTGCACTGTGAAGTCGTTATGTTGATATGAGTTGTATCACACTGCAACTAGCGAGGCTGACTAGAGAGGGTACAGTGTCTGGCCCATGGCAGAGGTCACAGGGCAGATGGGCAAGCTTAGATAAAAGGGTTTAGGGTAAAGATGAGAGGAGGCACGAGCCCCTCTGGGATGGGGGTCTGAGGACAGACTCCAGCTGGAGGGCCACTCCCCAGGCCAATAGAGCAGCTCTCTGGAGGTCGTGGTGCCTGACGAGCACAACATTTCAGGTCCCTGCCCCACTCCTCAGCCTGACTCTGCCTCCATGTTACTGTGATGAGAGATGACGGATGGGGACGTGTGATGCAGGTAAACAAGAAGGAAGGGCAGTGGTAAGTCCTGTGCACTAACCTCCCTTTGGTTGTTCTCTTAGCTAACAAAGGGATGCTCTGAACAGAGGATGCCTGGAACGTGCACACAGATGCAGTCTTTTATAGGTCAGGTACGTCATTAGCAAAATCTAGTAATATCTATAACTGAGATCAGTTTCCTGCTGTAACACTGATTTTCCAATTAGGGTTCGACAATAAACAGCTTCACACTATTTACTGTACCAGCTCTTTTGAAAGCACCTCCTGACTCACACTTCCAACACTGACCCCGAGGCTGACTCTGCTACCCAGGAGGTGGTGGCGGGATCATTAGGAGCCACTCGGCTGTGAACAGATGTCTCCCCAGGGTGCTTCTGTAGCTGGCCGAGTACCTCTCTCCCTGCAATCTTCCATTCTGGTTTGGGGCCCTAGTTGGAGTTTTAATGAGCATGTTTGGCAATTAAAGCTCTTCTCTTGAAGGCTCCAGATTCAGTGGGAAGCCAGCCACGTGCCACCTGCCGGCCTCAGTGTAGGAATGCCTGCTGCAGGGCAGCACTTGTGGGGCACCCCCTCCACCTGCTGCAAGCAGGCACCACCTCACGGGCTGACCCATCACGTGGCCTCATTACAGATGCAAAGGGAGGTGGCTGCCCAGAGCTGGGGGCCAGCAGGGGGCGAGGGGGGCAGATACAAATGTTCTCCAATTGTGGTGGTGGTCGCATAAGTACTGGATATACTAAAATCCACTGAATCAGGCAATTTCAATAGGTTGGTGGGATGGTCTGTGATCACACTTCAATCAAGCTCTTTTTAAAAACCGTCCTCGCCCTCGAGCTCCTGTGCTCAGGCTGCTCCAGTCTGCGATGTGCCAGGCTGAGTGGTAATGCCCTGGTTCCTCGTGAGGCTGCCCGCTTCAGTATCAGTCAGAGGTCACCACACAGAGGATGGCTCTGGTCCTGCCCGAACACTGTTGGGCCTAAGGGACTCGGGCTGTCACTGACCTGCATGACATTGCATCCTGAAGTAGGGATCCCACCACCTGCCCTACCAGCCAGGAAGTTGTCAAGAGAATAAAAGAGCTCTTTAATCCTTGTTGATATAAACACAAGAAATAATCTGAGTGAAAAGGAAGTACATGTGAATGCTTCCAAAAAAAGATTTTTATTAAAAAATTGATGCAATAGGTTATCATCTTTGGAGCTGTCTCCTGCCTTGACCTGCTCTGTCCCAGCACAGAGCAACCACAGAAGCCTGCACCTGGGGTATCAACACAGTAAACGGAGTGACATTCTGCGCCGGAAAGGGGCGACTGAAATTCTGCAGGCCACCCATGACAACCCGACCTTCCCAACAGCTGGTGGACAGCGGGTGGCCTAGGAGGACTGCACTGCCTGCTCGCCAGCCTCAACTGTGGGTAGACGGACAGGGAGCCAGGAAGGAGCAGACATTCGGAGAGCGCCTCCAAAAGGACCACCAGCCAAACAAACCGCTTGGGAGCAGACTCAGAGGAACAGACAGCGTGGGAGCACGAGAGAACGCAGAGAGCCTGCTCCCGGAGACAAGAGAGGCATCTGCCACCCAAGGACCGAGGCCCCGGAAGGCACTGCAGGCAAGAACCAGAGACCCAGATGATTATATGGGGCGCAGAACAGAAAGCTTCAGGGGAAGGCTGGAGAGCGGAGCTGCAAACAGCTCCAAGAGAAGAAAAGGAGAGGAAATGCTGGTGGCTCAGGCCAGGAGGTTGAATATCTGAATGAGAGTCATGCTGTGAAGGGCCCTTCAGGCCGCAATGGGGAGAAGGCATGGGACCCCCAACAGCCCCATGGCCTGTTACTGCGACCAGTCCGCTTCCTAACCATTGGCTGGAAGCTGGCTGGTGCATCACAGATTTAAAATACAGGGCTGGGCACAGCTTCAGTGGCTAGGAGGTGAGCACGTGCATGCTGCAGGCTGGAAACCCGGTCATCTGCCCTGTGCCGGACAAGCCCCCCAACCTGTGGCACCTGAGAGAGGGCCCTATGGGGACAGAACCTGCCACTGTGACAGGGTCTGTGGGGAAATCGGTGTTGGTGTGCACCAGGGTGCCTGTGGGGCTTTCAGCACCCAAAGCAATGGGCTGCAGGAGAAGGAGGCTCCAGGCCTTCCTCAAGCAGCTGCCACTGGGCTGGGTAACAGAAACCCGCTTGGCTCAAAGAACAGATCCTGCTGAGTCTTCAGCTCCCAGTGGCCTCAAAGCAGCCACCATTCAAGTGACAGAGAGGGACCAGGCTCAATGACAGAAAATAAAAGGCTAGTTTTCAAGAATGAAACCTGCCAGTGGAGACCCTTCTGTGGTTCTTATACACGGACACATCAGACAGCAAGCAGCCTGGGAACCTACCAGGATTCTGTGCAGAAACTCTACAGCCCAAGAAACCATCAACCTGGCCTTCCAGGTATAACTGCCCCCCTGCGCCCCACCACAACATGCACTAGGTGCAGGACAGTGGGGCAGCTGGGCCATACCACCTGCAGGGCCTGCTTTGGATGAGGCC